GCAGCAATTTGCGGCTGCAGTTGCAAGCCTGAAACAAAGGCGATGTATTTCTTCAAGGCCGGCGAAAACTTCACCTCGGTGCGTAAATCGTTAACCTGCATGCTCTCCTCTGTCCCAGATTGGACGCTAAGAGTAGACCTGGGGAACCAGTTGAATATCCCGGAGCAGATAACGACATCTTCCTTCCGCCCCGATTTATTAATCTGGGCACTTGTCTCTAGGCAGGTTATAATACTCGAACTTACGGTAACCTGGGAGGAGAATTTGGAAGAGGCCTTTGAAAGAAAGTTGGGAAAATAACTGGAGCTGGTTGAGAAATGCATACCTAACAAATGGAGGACTACCTATCTATCGATTGTAGTCGGATACCGTGATTTTGCAGGAAGATCTGTATGCAGAACTCTAAGTCGGCTTGGAGTCAGGGGAGCCATAAAAGAGAAAGGCTATCAGGACTATTTCAGAAGCTGCAGAAAAAGCCTAAAAATGGCTACGGATTAAAAGATCAGATCCATGGATCTCTACGACGGAGATCGGCAGGCGTTGAGGTGCTGCTGGAAGGGATGGAGAAAAAAGAGAGAGAGAGAGAGAGAAAAGGAAGGGGGAGAGGAAGAGGGAGAGGGAGAGGAAAATAAGTAGAATAGAGAAAAATGAAAAAAGAAGAAAAAAATGGAAAACAAATATATAGAGGGATCACCAAGGTTACTGTTTGAGGGAGGGTTGCTTCTTTTTAGTTTTTTATTTCTTATTTTTTATTTTATTTTAACCTGTTCCCCGACGATGTCATGGTGTTTCTAGTACGTTTTTTCTTTCCTGTCCGGGAGTGGGAGAGGATGGAAGAGGAAGAAAGGGGGAATGGAAAAAGAAAATCAAGAAACGTTTCTGATCATAATTCCTATGACCAACGAATGTGCATGAATATTTATTTTTATTTGGTATAGTGTAGTTTCATAGGCGATAAAAACTTTCCTGGCAACAATTAGAAATTACTCACCTGTCATGTCAAGCAGTGTTCTTTGAGAGTGTGGGTCTTTCCGTGTATTGGGCCTAAGAAGGAAAAAGGCGAGCATTCTGTTTATTCAATTTTTGTCTCATCTTGCCCGAGGAGGAAGTGACGTAGGGCGTTTCTGATTGGTCGATTGCTATTTCATGATCAGCAATGACAGTTGTGTGATTGGTAGTAACTTGCACCAGGATACCCTGCCAGTATACTTATTGTTTCGGTAGGGTCACTTTGGTGACCTGGTATGGTGTTGAAAGACCCGAACTTGTCATGACCCCAAGTCATAAGATCATCGATGAGTCGATCCTGCTCACCGGTTGGAGTGTATTTATAACAAAGTTAAATAAAATAAAACTATAAGTAAATGTTACAAAAATATTTAATTATAAAAGATATGTTTAAAAAATGATGAAAAATTAATCTGCAGATAATTTAGATTTAAAATTAATCACGTCTGATTTCTTACAAATTTGTAGAAGGAAAAGAAAAATGAAAGGAAAAGAGGAGAAAAGAAATAAACAAACGTTGCACGCTTCCTCCCCCAAAAAGGAAAATTGAGTTTGAGTTGATTTGGTGTTGCCTCCGTTTCCTTTCAGGAAGATAATTGTGTATATATTTCATCACGCAAAACTAAATTGTTTCTTTCCAGTAATGGTGAAATATAACATGCTATTTTTTTGTAACACTTTTTTCTTTTTGGCGGGGTGTGGGGTATCTCGGCTCTTTTCAAAACGAAGTTACGCAATGATTCTGACACAATATGTACCAAATATTTGAAAGAGAAATTGTAAAGTACGTAAACACCATTTTTTTTTAGCAAAGTCGTAGAATTTGAATGACCAGAATTAATTGAATTAAATCAGAAATCATTATTTATAATAGAATGCAAAATATAACTGAAAACATTGCATGATGGGATTGGCGGATGTCAGGCAATCTGCTGATTAATGATGCTTTGAAGTTATAGTAAAAAAGATTCTCAAATCACTGTTTGAAACTTTTGCAGCAATAACAATATTTTAGCAAACAAATTTATAATTTGACAGAAGAGAGTAAAAATTCGTAAAATGTTAAATTAAGTTTTCCTCGTTTTTGTCTCGTTTTAACTGCTATGTGTACACGTGTCATTTTTCGTATTGATATATACGTTATATTTAGTAGGTAGATGTGATTGGGTAGACACGCTTGTTTTGGTGGAGGCATGAAAATAATCTAACCAGATTTCGAAAGGTCCCAATGAAAAATGTGTATTTATTTTAAATAGGGTAACTGAGTTGTGCCTTTACTGCTATGGTTTCTCGTAGCTTGATGGTAAAGCACGCCTGACTTGTAGGCGGTTTCTTAGGTTAAATACAGGTTCCCTTGAAGAACACATTCTATTTATTTTTTTTAAGCATTTTGCCCCAAGCAATGTGTGAGTGGCACTAGCACGCAAGGGGTTACAGAGAGTGATAGCAAGAGTAAAGAGGAATGTTTGAGGAAAGGATATAGTGAAGAACGGGGATCAGGATCAAGGCATCAGATGTCAATTGACATTACATTTGAATATTTGAAGTTTATAGCTATCATGGAAACAAGCAAGAAGAAGGTAGTACCATTGTCGGAAAGTGCGAGAGAAGCTGTTCGAGTAGAAAAGGCGGTGACATTTAACCGTTTCGACAGTGAAAAGGTGGGACCGAGATGCCAACCCAGTAGCACGCTTAAATTCATGCAGTTGGGGTACCGGTGAAAGTAGCTCGTCGGAGCAGTTGCCATGAAAATATTTGCAGAAAAAACAGAGGGAAGCCACATCGCGTCTGTGAGACAGTGACTGTAGACGAGATGCCAGATCAGGACCTATCACATTACATATCCGTCACTGGATTTTGACCAGGACCTCGAGATGAACAGCAGGGACACGAAACCATATATTACAACAGTATTCAATGCAAGGGCGAATGGTAGATCTGTAGATTTGAAGATGAGGTATTATGTACACTATTTACATTATTGGGACTATTGTCCTCATCTTTGTCGGCATATTTATTACAACGTTTCGGCCTTTCGATATCTGTCTATATTTCTGAGATGAGGTATTATGTACACTATTTACATTATTAGGACTATTGTCCTCTTCTTTGTCGCCATATTTATTACCACGTTGCGTTAGTTAGATCCAGTGACAGAACCCAAAGAGTGTGAGTTCAATACCTGGTTAAGGCGATGGAGAACTTGGAGAGGGGAATTAACAGAAGATAACTGATAACTGACATCCATTAAAACATGGCACGTGGAACTAGAATAGTCTACCCCAGTGAGCGAAATAAAGTGTTCAGTTTGACATTCCAATCAGCTGAAGAAGGCCGGAGCGTACAACGGCCGACACGTTGTAATAAATTTGGCGACAAAGATGAGGACAATAGTCCGAATAATGTAAATAATGAATATCTTTTATAATCCATAAATTTACATTTTATAACTATATTAGCTTCTGTCAAGGTTGACTATGGTGGTAACAAGTGTTACTGTAACATCCTCGACAGACAACCTCATTGACACGAAATATTGTTATATTCGGTGGTAATGGGAATATGGAATGGACAAACACGGTGGATAAATAATAACAGGTTTATTGTAGAAACCAGTACAACAAGTAGTTAATAGTTATGTGCACGGTCGTCGCAAGTCAGTACAGTTTTGTGCATGCTGTTATCGGAAGGCTGCAAGTTCTCACAGATTCAAACTCGATGCTATTTAGTAACTGTTCCACGCAGTCACATGTGGCACAAGGCCGAATTTAATGTGGGGTTCCCGAGACCAGAGGCCCAGCTAAAAAATCCCCGTAGACCTCGCATAAACGGGATCGGGTCTGTCTATCTCCCCCGGACGAGACTCTGCCCTTCGGCATAGACTCGTCCGGGTTCCTCTCTGCCCGAAGGCAAAGAGTTCGACTAGCGCAGCTGGGAAAGATCCCAACGCGACTCTCCTGTCCCCTGTACTAACGTGTACTTATAGGCGGTTACCACCTATAGTGCCGCCACTCATGGGGGTGGCAGGTTATTCCATTACATCATATATTTTTGTCGATGTATTCATTTGTTAACGCTTTTCTCCGTTAATCATTCTGTTGTATTAATTCTCAATCATTTCGTAAAGTTATTAGACAGTATACGTAGAATCTTGTTTAAGTCTTTACCATTCTTGAAAATGGCAATTGCAGTTTTGAGTGACATGAAACACTGCGCTTAATGTACTTAAATGAGTGGGGGGGCAGTGGTTAGCGCCATAAGACTCAAAGACTTTCGTTGAGTTCGATTCTCAATGAGCTTCCCACATCTATGATTTTGTGTCAAAAGTAATATAAGCTTGTTTAATATTAATACGCATTGCTATGTAATAAAGCTTAGAAAACTAGTGGAAGAGGTAATTACTACTACAGTAAGTGTCCCAACAGTTCTGGCCTTGTATCAGATTAAACCTAGTTTGCTAAATATTAAAGGCGTATTACTTAAGAGTACTATTAAATTAATATCGAAGACTATGATATTGTGAGTTTGATCTTCAGTTGGTGCCAATCAGGTCATCAAGCGCTATATAAATGCCTCTACAACAGAGATGTGTCCCCCATAGGTACAAATACGACATACGTATAAGATGTTTAGTGTAAGGGGCAATGGACCTCAGATACCACATCGTTTGTTGCTCATTGGTTTCCAGGTTCTATTCAGTATCGGCAGTTCATAATAGGATGCTCAACACCTATGGCCTTGTGCTGAGGGCATAATAAATATCTCTAATCAATATCGATTTATTCTACCCTAAATCAAACGTCAGCTCATTCATTTGATCGATTTCTGTAGTCGATACGTAGTCGACCGCTTTTGCTTTCACGTGAAAATATGGCGTTAAACAATATGGCTGACTGTTGATTCTGTGCAGTGGGAGGAAACGAAGGAAAGCAATCAAAATACGAGAATAATCTTTCTCTGTCTATTTCATTTTCGCTTCACGGCATCTGCAAATGCTTCTAGCAGGTTTCACGTCTGCTTCGCGTTCATGGTTTATTACATTAGCAACAAGAGGGTAAAACAACATTTGCACAAAGCAAGTCTTTGATTCACAGTCTTCAAGGATTCTTCTTCTTCTTCCCTTTCTTCTTCCTCGCATTTTCCTCTGTGTTTATTCTTTTTCTTCACAATGTTCTTCTTTGCATTCCTTCTTTTCCTACGCACCTTCATCGTCATATTTCTTCTTCGTATTTTTCTTTTTCACCTTTTTCATCATATCTATTATTTTTTATTCTGCAATTTCTCTTTCTTCTTCGAATTTATTCTTCTTTGTTTTTACATTTCTTCATCGCATGCTTTCCTTATTTCTTCTGCTTATTCTTTGTCGAATTTTTTTTATTATTATTCTTATTTTTTCATTTTCGCATTTTTTTTCTTTTTGTTATTTTATTTCTTCTCCGCATTTTCTTCTTGCCATTTTTTCTTCATTTCATTATTCACATTTGTCTTATTCGCATTTCTTCGTATTCTTATTCCTTTCAATTCGTCCGAAGCTTTTCTTTCTTGTTCTTTTCTTCATTCTTCTTTTATTTTTCTTTCTTTACGTTGACCTTTTTTTCTTCACTCTCTACTTATGTCTTCCTTTCCACTCATTTATATTCTTTCTTTCTTCTCATCTACTTTTTCCTTTTCTTCCTTCCTATCTCTTTCTCCCCTCTCTTTTCAGCGCTCTTTCTCTCTTTCGCTCTTTGACACTCCATCTTCTCTAGACTTAATCTCTTTTCACATTGTCATTTCCTCTCTGTCTGTCTCTCTCTCTCTCTCTCTCACATACACACACACACAAACTATTGTTGATCACCTGTGAACGAGAACATCAATTTTCTAGTGACACCAATGTCGTAGCCCCTTTGCGAAGAATTAAGCAGTTCTAGACGCGAGATCCTGTTTTATTCTGATATCATGTTCAATGATGCTAAATTCGTTGCATGCGATCTGTGAAATTCAAAGGCATTTCACGCGCAGAAGAATTTAGGCTTCCCTCACTTGTTAGTTGGTTATCCATCTTAACGATTTTCATCCGCCGTTATAAAAACACGTTCTTTATTTTCTCTTTCTATCACTTCGTAGCTTTCCTAAATTATCATCAGTTCCATCCATCTTAGATCAGTTTAGGCAATTTCAAATCTACATGACGACCAATTCATTATTTCGCTCTTCCCTGCTATTTTCTGAAGAAAAAAGATATTTTTATTCAGAAAATCTCAGGTCTACTTCTGTTTAACTAATCGGAATTAATTACCATTAATCTGAATTGTTTTTATTCCAAGATATCGGCAGATGATTTCTTTCTTATTTTCAGAGACGAAGTGTCATTATTAATTCACATTTTCCGTTGACATGAAATAAAAAGATTATATTGTATCAAATGCTAGGTCTTCACCTCGGAAGCTTGATTCACTGTGTCGCGTTAGAAAATTTTTCCTCACTTAAATCTATCTTACACATGTATAAGTCTACCATACTTCCTTGCCTTGAATATTGCTATCACGTATAAACTAGTGTTTCTGTTATACATTTAGAAATCCTTGATAAAATCCAAAGTACCTGAAATGTTATTGTTCTTAATCTCGCATCTTGCCTTCGGTCCGCTTCCAACCGACGTAATGTAGATTCCTTTTGTCTTTTCTATAAATACTCCCATGCTAATTGTTTTGATGAAGTTATCCCTATATAAGCTAGACTCTATGAATTTAAGTGCAGTACGAGATTTGCAGCAACGCCTCATTTACAGTTGAAATGGTTAGATGTAACCGCATATTCTCTCACACTTCTCACTGCTGGAAATATCACCATGTTTCTTGGTTTCCAGTCAAGTTTGATCTTAAAAAAAATAATTAATCAATTGTTATGGTCCGGTTCCTTGTACCACGGTGATAGTCCAAGGTAGAACCAATAAAGAAGAACTCGAACACGGACATGGAATAACACAGATATATTACAAACAGGAATATATACAGAGAAGTAGAAAGTGTTAGTACGAACAATCAGGTTTAGTAGTAATTGTCTGAAGGCGACTCTGTTTCGGACTGCCTCTGACTCGACTGACTGATACGCTCGCTCTGACTGACTGACAGACTTCTGACGGACTTCACTCCAGACTTCAGGCTGAACTCCCTGCTTTCTCTTGAGGCGCAGTATTTATTACGTTTGGAATAGTCCATTATGTTATTATGGGTAAGGTCCCATAACATCAATCATTACCTTCTGTCTTCTAATTTATGTTCTTTTATTGTTCTCACACCTTAATAACACTTTTCTTTTTCTTATATTATTTCACACTTAATAACTACCGGCGTCTTAGTGGCTTTTTTGCCTTGCTTGGTGTGAAATGATTTTTAAAATATATGAAGTCATTCGGATAAGCTTTATCGATTTTGCAACATTTTGGCCTTTGTATTCTTTCACAGTTTATTGGAGTTTTTCAGACTATCTCTTGTCATTATAAGGCGTCATTCATTATCTCGACGTTTCAACACATCGAGGCTCCAGCTTTTGTTGCTGTCTAAATGAGATAATGAATTTTATTATTAACTTTTGGTTCCTTTAACCCAAATGTTTAGTCTTCATTCTCTTTGTCACAAGGTTTCAATCACTGTGCTCTATCGGCATTCAGTTTAAATTTCTGAAACAAAAAATATAAAAATAAGACTACATATATTTCAGGTTGCAATCTTATTAAACCAACTGTTTTTTTTTTTCGTTTACAGTAGCATTCGGCCTGTAGAAGGCAAGGAGGCAATCAGCATAGGGTTACAGAGAAAGTGGCAGATTATACGGATAAGAGAGGAAGATGCCGGTCAGATCTAGACTTGAACAGGTTAGGATTATATTGATCGGGGAAATATCAACTTGGGAGTTGATTCCACACAGTTGTAGTTCGCGTGAAGAAGCTGTTCAAGTGGAACTTACTTCTGACCAATGGAATAGAGAAAGAATGATGGTGGTTTGTTAAGTGGCATGGCGGGTACTTGCCATTAAGGTTAGAACTGGTGGGTCCAAGGAATACAGTTCGTCTGAGCACTTTCCTTGCGAGCAGCGATAGAGCAGTAAAAGGCTTGTCACATCGCGTCTATGAGAGTGAGGTTAGAGGGTGGGAAATAATTTGTCACCGTCAAGGGCTCGTAGACGTTTTGAACGCTATCGAAACTCGTGTGGCACACTAAACAAAACAGAACAGTAGGTTTTTACGCAAATAATTTCAATAGACCTTAAATAGCAAGTAGAAGAAAGATTCTGCGTGTGACGTTTTCGATGGCGTTCCAATAACTGATGGCGCAAATTTGCGCCTGTGATTTGAGCAGCGTCGAAGCAGACAGGCCACAAATAAATCGATTACCAGTTCACGTTTCTAATTAATGAAGATATTACAGATTTTTAGGATGGTTCTTATATGGCCCCTGTACCAGTAATACTGACCGCCCACGGTCCTTTCAACTTTCGCTGGCACTGTATACTTACGAAAATCTACATAGGGTATCTTATCACTCTCAATGTAACTAAAGACTCTGTTATAACAAGGACTAGTCCTGAGTGTGATGATAAACTACATCCTGCAGCAAGGCCTCTAATCGGGTGATTGTCCTCATCTTTGTCGCCATATTTATCACAACATATGGAGAGAGAAAAGAGGTCACCGCCCTCTGTGGGATCAGGTTGAGATCATTGACAAGGAACACCATTGGAAAATTCGTAAACTTAAGGAATCAGCACATATGCTAGGCCACAAAAATCACCTGAGCCGACCAAGCATAGAAGTAAATACAATATGGGAACCAGTAATAAGGAGTGCCAGAGAAAGGCAATGATAACAACATAGTTGCAATATGAGCTCTGATAAAAACATGTAATGATAACAGCAAAATTGCAATATGATCACTGGTAAAAATGGTTGCTGAAGACATTAGGTTTATAATACTCAGAAATTCATACCCAGATGTGGATAAAGGCGTTGGTTAGATCCAGTGACAGGACCAAAAAAGTGTGAGTTCAATACTCGGTTAAGGCAGTGGAGAACTTTCAGAAGGAAATTACCATCAAACATGGCACGTGGAACTAGAACAGTCTACCCCAGTGAGCGAAATAAAGGGTTCAGTTCGACATTCCAACCACCTGAAGAAGGCCGGAGCGTACAACGGCTGAAACGTTGTGATAAACATGGCGACAAAGATGAGGACAATAGTCCGAATCATTTAAATAATGTATATAATACCTCATCTCAGAAATATAGACAGACTCTATGAAAGTGTAAAAATATATTTTTATAGTAAAATATCAGCAATAGATTTTTCTATAAAAATTACCACCATTATGGTTTTTTTTTAATTTTTTTATGACCAACAGTACATTTTATCTGTAATTGAACAAAGACAACTAACCAAACAAGCCAAATAACAAGTACACGTGGATCGTCCAAGACTTCGCAGATAGCGACGACCTGGTGTTGGATATGGGTTGAAGAAGACCTTTGACTTTACTTCCGCTGCATCAGAGAGTGAGCGAATATCGGAATGGGTGATAGCATAAACAGGAAATGGCTAAGATAAACAGGATGCACAAGTATCCTGAGTCTTGAATAAACGGGGCGCAAGGGTGTCCTGAGCGGAAAGAAATGCGTGATTGTGTGGGCGCATACCGGAAGAGGCCTGGCCACATGAAGTTGCGTTGGCACATGGCCTGAAGAGGTTGTATTGACGACATAACGGAAGAAGGCGTAACCACGTGAAGTTGCGTGGGTATCCAAATGTTATAAAAACTGTCCAACTATTGACCTGAGAAAGAAGCTGGTTAGATTTTCACCGAAGATTTCGTCTCCGTCAATTCCTGTGCGCACAATGCCAACCTGTGATTCTCCCACACTCGACCCAATTGCCGAAAGTCGAACAATAAAGCTATTTATTTTTTTTATATATAAATGTTCGTCGCCTTTTTTTGAGTCCAGCAACAATATACAACACTGGAATTCAGGATTCGCAGCCATATAACGGGTGGAATTCCTATCCAAGGATATAGTCTAAACAGAAAAGGATGTTACACTACAGATTCTATGGATTTATTCTTGAAGCTGACGTGTTTGTGATTCATGCATTCAGCAAGTGAATTTTAATTTTAAGCCACAGGTTTGGCATACAAGTTTACCCCTTACTTGTACTGTATTGTCATCATGTTGCTATGATTTGTAATTCAGACTGGATATCAGTATATGTTTCGTGTTGTCGTGATGGGAACGTGTGTTATACATAAATTCATGCATACACAGACACAGACACATACACAGGCACATACACATATATATATATGATACATAGCAGAGAGTTTCGGGTTCTTAATTCTATAAGCACTTGTTTTTAGTTAATGTATTTTTTTTTAATCATTTCACCCCAAACAAGGCGGGAAGCCACTAGCACGCAATGGGTTGCAGACGATTTGGAGCGAGAGCACATAGGAGTGATAGTGGAAAGAATGACGGGAAGGATAGTGGATAGATCAAGGCAACTGGAGATGTCGATTGACATTACATTTGAATAGTTGGAGATTATAGTTATCAGGGAAACAGGAAAAGGAAAGGGAGTTCTACAGGTGAGAGGTGCGAGATATGAAGCTATTGGAGTAGAATAGACGTCTACATTTAACAGTTTCAACAGTGAAATGGTGAAAGCGGTATGCCAGCGTAGTAGAAGGCTTGAATTCATGAAGTCTGGGAACCAGA